TTAGATCAGACGTGAAATAATGAAAAGACAAAAAAGAAAAACAAACTCCCTAGAATAATATTGTTTAGATTGCCACACGAATATATACGAAGAGACAATCAAAGATATTGGTAGGAGCAACTGATATAGAAAGAATTAATTGTTGCTCTGAGCTTCAATACTGCCATATGTAAGATGGGATCAGTACAAAGTACCTATCTCACAGAGGTGCTATGGTGCTAAGTAAAGTACATAAAAATTCCCAAAGAGGCAGGATTAGAGAGAAAATAGAAGCTTATTTTTCTTTTTAGAAATTACATACAAGTGTATTTTTCAAAAATATCCCTGATACAATTTTAGAATGGATTAACAAATTGATGATTTGTGAGCATTTAGAATACCTATTACAAGACACTAAATACAAGTCATGTCAGACTCATGTGACATCCCATTTTCTGACAGTTACTTCATTGGTAGGAGAATGCTAAAGAGCTAGTTTATCTGAACCTCAGCAAGGACAAACTTTCTAATGACTAACTTTATGGACAGGACGGACAGGCAGGGACTGGATGATGGTAGTTCTACCAAACTGTAACCAGTTGAATGGATAAAGAGTATTGGTTAAAGTAATAATGTAAACCCTGACAAAGGTTTGGTCTTCACTGTTATGTTCAAAAGACCTCATTCATGCTTATCAAATTCTCAGGTTGACATCTTTTATGCTATCTTTTATCTTTGATGCTATGTAAGAACTCAAGAACAAGGACTCTTACTTATTTGCGTATCTCTGAAGCCACAGTTGTCTACCATAATAGATGCTTAATAAATGCTGATGGTGACAATGATGTTTGTTTATCCAGTTTAGCAAGACTGTTGTTGAGCTATGTAGCGCATCCCAACACTGCTTCCTTCATCTACTTTATGAAGACTTTTTTTTCCTAACAGTCTTTGGACTTCATTATAGTGGAGCTTTACCCCCAAGAGATCCGTTTACTGGGGAATCACTGTATTTATTTAGGGATCCTATGCATGCATGTCAAAGCACTTCATAAAGCGGCATCTTATCCACATGTTACACTAAGGAAGCAAAGATCTGTGACTGGTTCAAGATTACAGGATGCCTCATTTCCCTCCTGACCCTATCCCTGACTTCTGGACTTCAAAACCATGCCCCTGTGGCTATCTTCTCCAGGAACTTACAGAGCCTGGGGCATCTGACTGGCACACCCAACCACCTCTGGGGCCTTCTCAACTTGGAATATTCCTCTACAGCACCTGCCCTCTTCTAATGGCGAGTTCCTCCTGGAGCTTCCATGATCTGCAGAAGCCCAGGCTGGCCTGCCTTCATTCCCTTCCCAGCCCTAATCTTGGCTTCTGGACTTCAAAACCATGTCCCATGACAGGCCTTCGTTACCCAACCTCCTTCACTTTTGTATGTCACATTTCCCCCATTAGAATGTAAGCTCTTAGAGGGCAAGGGCTGTCTTTCTTTTTGCTTGTATCTGTATCCCCAGCACTTGACACACAATAAACACTTAATACATGCTTGTTTCCTTCCTTCCCTCATGACATACAAATTTAGACCAGAATTAATGAATGGGACCAACTGTGCTTGTCATTTAACTGACAACTGAACAAAATTGGCTTTGGAGTTGCCCTAAAACATAATGATTAAATAAAAAACAGTAAGTGCAGAAATTCTGTACTTGATTTCCCTTGGACTTCCCCATTCTTGATTTTATCCTCTCAATTTCCATGTTCCATTCCAAATCATTTGCCAATTACTTCTTCTGGCCCAAAATGGATCACACTTGATTTTGAACTCTAAATTCTTATTCCCATTTCAAGTGAGATTTGATTTCACAGCTGTGCCAATCAATGCCTGAGAAGCATTCTGCTTAATCTTCCCTTGCTTTCTTAATCACAGGCAGACACAATTCTTCCCAACTTTCATAATCGTTCAAAATTCTAAAGGCAATTGTTGAGATAGTTTCCTACAAGATCAACAATCCAAAATGAGCTTCCAAAGATATGGAAAAATCAGAGCTTTCTAAAAGGCTATCAGAAACTGCACTTAAAATATGGAAAACTGTTAGATTCGAGCTCATCAGAAAATTCAAACTGAAGACATGCAGCTATCACACCACCAAATTCAACCTTCAGACATCCCAAGTCAGAAGTCCCCCACAAAAGTCAAGGGTTCTGGCTATGTCTTGGTGTCTTTCATTCCAATATGAAAATGAAAATTAACCAGATTATCTCTGTATACCACCCTTTATGGTATACTTCTACTTAGATATCACGAGTGCACGAGTGCATGGGCATGCACGCACGCGCACACACACACACACACACACACACACACACAGAGCCATATTTTATACTCACAGTTTTTTAAAGCATACATACTTGTCTCCTGTTATAGTAATTGTGAATCCATCCTATTCCTTCCCTTGATCTTTGAGGCTGGGAACTTTTGTATTCACAGTGAACCCATTTCTTGTTTTACTGTTAAACTGCTTTCGGGAAGAAAGAAGAGTTAACATTACCAGTCTGTAACCTCATAGCCAGCCCTACTGTTACTTAGTAATGCATATTTTTTACTTGGCTATTTTAAACAAGGTCAGCCTGATACAATAAATGAATTGTTGTCTACAATACCAATCAGTTACTGGGGAATGGTTATCTCTTGCATGGTGTAACAGAAAGGGCTGAGGACAAGGAATCAGAAAAGTGGGCTATAGTTTCTGCTCTAGTATTTAGAAGCTGTGGGATTTGGGAAAACATTTAAAACTTCTCTACATCTCAGCCTTTTAAGAGTAGCTAAGTGGCACAGTGGAGAGACTGCTGGTCTGGAGTCTGAAAGACCTGAATTCAAATCCAGCCTCAGACACTTACTAGCTGAATGACCCTGGGCAACTCACTTTTCCGTCTGCCTCAGTTTCCTCAACTGTGAAATGGAGATCATGACAGCATCTTCCTTGAAGGGTTGTCAGGATCAAATGAGAAAAATATTTATAAAGTGCTTAGCCTGGTACCTGGCATATCATAAACACTTAATGAATGCTTTTCCCCCTCTCCCCACCTCATATGTTAAATTAGGAGCCTGGACTAAAGATCCTTCCAACTATAGTATCAGATAATTTTAGCTTATTACATGGAACAAAACAGATTCATTCTAATGATCCTAGATTCTCTGAATCCAACTTTTAGTTTATCCTTACACATAGCCCAGGGGATCAAAAAAAAAAAAAGCTTCCCTAATCAGCAGAGCAAATTCTCATTTTTCTCCTATGCTTTTGGGTTTCTATTTATGGCCACCCACATCCATCTGCCTTGAGGGGCAATAATAGTCATTCCTAAGATAAAATCAGTATTGTACAGTAATAAAGAGCAACGGATTCAGAGTCCAAGAATTCAAAGTAAATTCCAAGCTCTGCCACTTTATTGCATGTCACCTTAGGTAACTCACTTAACCTCTCTAAGATTCAGCTTCATCATCTGTAAAATGATAGGACTGAAGAATATGGCTCCTAAAGTCCTTTCCAGCTCTAAACCTATGATCCCAGCACATAGGAGGTGCTTAATAATGCTTGTTGACTGGTTGATTGGCATGCAATCACCCTGTTTCCAAACAGAAAACATCCTGATGGCTTACACATATACCGTGTGTAACCACTGTCCTGCCATCTTTGTAATGGGGGTATTTTAACAGGAATGCCATGAAATGGGACCTTCAGTCTTTAGGTTGGGATATGCACACCATTACTTTGTGTTAACTTTGTACTTACTGCAGAATAGATTGAACATAAATTGTTACTAAGAACTTAATAATTGTAAAACATGGTCTATTATGAAAAATAAGCTACCCTAATTAGAGTCAATGAACAAATGCCAACTTCTTTGTACCTGCTGGTCAGTAAGAGTAATAATGCTGAAGGAGCAGGGTCACTTAATTTTTTAATGGTTATATTGCAATTCAAAGCTAAAAACTTTGTTGTTTGTCTACCATGGATATTCATGCATAAAATACTGTCCTTCAATTTAAATAAATATATGAAGGACTGTGTAAAATCACTCCATTTTTTGTTATTTTGGCTATAGCTTCAAATCTCTTACAAAGCACTCTATATAAGTGCAGAATAAAAATCCACCAAGTGAGTAACCTAGCTTAGGATCTCATTAATGCCCCTTGAGGATATAGATGACCTCAATTTTATTTTCTTCCATAATGCTTGTTAGAATTATAAAAATGCTAAAAGGCATAGAGTTTGCCTGAGAGAGTTCAATAGATGGCAGTGAAAACAATAAATAAATGATCATCTAAAAATGATACAAGGAGATTTCACAGATGTTAAGGCAAATCTAAACAAATTATCAGTGATAAATGAAGATTATTTCAGATATCAATTTAAAAAAATTAATGTCATGAGCACTCTCCATTCACAAAAGAATTAAAAAATGAAGATACTGCATTTGTCTCTACTCCTCACAAAAGAGAAGCAAGTCCAACCTTGGTTGTTTCAAATTGCTAGTTTTCTAGGGAAGACGGGGCATGAAGAGAAACTAACAGAATAAATTAAGAAGTTTCTTGCTACAACCCTTTTGTGGAATTTGGATAGAGAGCAATAGAATAAAATGGAAACTCACTCCACGCGAACTGGAGGGACCACCGAAGGCACTTGAAGGATAATAGACAAAGACCAAAAAGTCTTAAGTTGGGCAACAAAAATTACAAAGGTAAAAGTTTGGCACTGAGGCAGAGTTGAACATCTCACCACAGTTCTCCAGCATAAAATGTAAAATGAAATGAAGAAAAAAGAATGGGCTCAAGTGTATCTTTAACTTACGCTCCCACTGTAACCTCCTTAGTTTAGTTCCTTTATTACCTCTTGCCTGGACTATTGTAGAAGCCTCTTAACTGGTCTTCCAGTCTCCAGTCTAATCCTTCTCTAAATCCATTCTTCACACCACTGACCAAGTAATCTTCCCAGCAACACTCCTCTGATCACATCAGGTTCTTTTAAAAAAATTATTTAAAACCTTCAAAAGCTCCCCATGACCTTCCCCAATAAAGTATCAACCCCTGATCCTTGAATTCAAGGCTCTCTGAAATCTGTCTGCAACCTCCTTCCAGTCTTAGCTCAGACTACTCCTTTTCACATACTTTTTGTTCCAGCCAAGATGTACTACTTCTACTACTCTCCACCTCTTATTCTCACCTTGCCCTCTCTAGTTTTCTGTGCTTTTGCTCATGCTATCCATCATGTCTACAACAGACATTTTTTCCCTCTTCCCACCCCTATATATCTGTCTGCTGAAGTCCCACGATTCCTTCAAAGACAAATTAGGGGCTGTTTGCTCCACAGAACTCTCCCTAATACCCTCTAAACCCAGCTGAATGTGATCATTTCCCTCCACAAATTTCTCACAGCATGCTGCTGAAACCTCTCCTTTGTGTTTCACACATATCTGTTTAAATGTCATTTTTGGACCATTCAACTGTGAATGCCTTGCAACTGTGTGACATATTTATCTTTGGTATTAGGCACTTTATACCCAATTTTTTTTGTTGTACTAAGCCTTCTAAAAGAAGCATATATTTACACTTCCAATGTTCTGTTATCTAAACACTTTATTTCATCCTTGAAAATTAAAAAAAATTGAAATGCCAAGTTAAGTGCTTTTAAAAACACACACATATTCGTGATCCCTTTGTACTAAAGCCAGTCACAAAGTGTTGACAACTGTTCCCTTCCCACAGGACACCACCACCCCATAGGCCAACTGACAACAACATTAACAAACAGATATGAACAAAATAAACAGCAATGAGTTCTTAGTTTTGAACAGTAAGCAGGCTGCCTTAAAGGCTCTACTTTCTTTATCAAATTTCTCTTTTGCTTTTCAAATAAAGATGTTCACAAAATATCTGCTTCCTTTTAAAAGTCTGTTCCTACTTAAAGAAGTTCCTTCTTATAATGAAGGTATTTGATATCTCAAAGGCAAAGAATTTGTTGCCATAATTCCATAGCAAGTCTAAGTGACTAAAATGATTCATATAAACTAACTATAAGGACCCTAATTAACAAAAGGAATTCAGGAGTTTCATCACATTAAATAATAACCTGGAAGACTAAATGTATCTTTCATTCAGAAACTTCTACTTTCAAAACAATTTTTACATATATTAATCATCAAATGATCATCAACAACCACTTGAGGTAGATATAATTTAATGGATAAAGAAAGAAGCTCAGAGAGGTTAACATGACTTTTTTCAAAGTTAAGTGGCTTATCAACCAAATTAATTAATTAACCAATTAATTGACCAAACCAAAACTAGAACTCTAGTCTCTGGACACTTGGTCCAGCAGTTTTTTCCACTATACTATTCAGCTTATTCATTCACCTACTACGCCAGAAGTAAGTTATTTACACTTACACAACACAGAATGAATAAAGTTCAGGAAATTCATGTCACATATTAGAATGATGATGAATTAATACATTTTGGTCTTCAATTAATACTAATAGCTAGCATTTTTAAGTTTGCAAATCATTTTACATATGCTATATATCATTTGGTCCTTATAAAAAATTGTGAGATAGGTTCTATTATTATCCCTATGTTCCAGATGAGGGAACCAAGGCCATGTGAGGTACAGTGACTTGCCTAAAGTCACAGCTACCCAGTGTCTGAGGGAGGATTTGAACTCAGGTCTTCCTGACTCCAAGTCCAGCACTCTATCCACTGAGCCTCCCAGCAGCCTCTACATTATGACTTATTTGATTAGATAAAATAAGTGAGAACACCACCTTACTCCCTCTAAAACTTAAAACACACACACACACACACACACACACACAACCACCACCACCACCAATGGCACATGTTATTTGATCCAAGGAAAAGATCTGGCCATAATTAAATGATTTCACAACTATACTGATTAAAATCATAATCCTAACAAAGCAAACTATGCATTTAGCAGTTTTTTCTTTAGTCAGTAGTTTGATTTCCAAAAGCATCAGATTCATGACAAATTTACCTTCATAATTGGAAGAAGATCTTCTACTTTGTGTACTTTTTCAAGAGCTTCTTGAACTTCTAACAGTCCTTTGGGATTATTAGCACTAAAAATACAGAGAGGTGGCAGTTAAGGATGCAGAAATGTAATAATTAGCCAAGCTATTTTAGAGCCATTTTCCATTTTCAATTTAAAAAACTTTTTCTTCGTCATGAGTTATTCAGAATGTGCAAAGTTAGTGATAAGCTATATAGGAATGTTCTGAACCATGAAATGGACTTGATGCTAATGGGCTTTGAGAAACAGATGAGAACTTAGTAGATGAATTATGTTGTTGTTGTTTGTCCTTCTTTCTCAAAGAGGACCAATGACATCAGGGAGGTGATGCCATGACATGCAAGTGAATTGGATTTAAGTGAGGGAGGGCTGTGCAAAGTCACCAGCCTCACTTTCTCCTCCAGAGCCATCTGGGTCCAGCGGCAAGATACAGATCAGGATGACTGGAGATAGCTCTGGATGCAGTGGAAGATCTTGGCCTTTTTAAGCTAAGGTCTTTAACAGGTCTGTCTGACTGAGGCAATGCCCACTCAGTGATTAAGGCTAGGTAAGAAATGAGGCAGAGAACGAATGAGTCACTCTCACTGAATTGACAGCCTTGAAAGTAACAGTCCGTTCGTACAGTGTTTGTTTGTGAACTAGCACAAATCTTTGTTTGTCCTATGCTGAAAATAACAATTGAATATAGATTTTGTTTCTATTTTTTTCTTTCACAAACTTTATTTTAAGTTCAGTTATAGAACAAAAGCATCTCTTTTCTTGGGTGTTTTTATGACATTTCATATTTGCGTAGCAATTTACAATCACTTTTATAGAAGAGTAAATGAGGTCCCTGGGCCAATGGATGAGCTGAAAAACAGAACTCAGACCTCTTTATTTCCAGTCTTGGGTTTACTTTAAATAAGCCATCAGTTTAGTCATGTTTTTCAGTCGTGTGCAACTCTTTGTGATCGCATTTGGGGTTTTCTTGGCAAAGATACTGGAGTGGTTTGCCATTTCCTTCTCCAGCTCATTTTACAGATGAGAAAACTAAGGCAAACAGGGTTAAATGACTTGCCCAAGGTCACACAGCTTGTAAGTGTCTGAGGTCACATTTGAACTCAAGTCCTCCTGACTCCAGGCCTGGCGTTCTATCTACTCTGCTACCCAGCTAATTAATTTGGTTTTGAAAATGGCTGTTTCTTTAACAGAAAAGAAAAGTCAGATATAATTTTATTGTTCTCAATATAGGCATAAGATACATGTCCAATATGTAAAAAACACCTCTAAAGTGAAATTAATCTGGTCGAGAAGGTCAAACTCTAGACTCAATTGCTTTATTCCTTATACCTTTGCTGGGAAATTTGAAATATGCCCTGACAGTGAATAAATGAGCCCACACAAATAAAGAGGGTAAAGCCAGTAGCATCTTAGGGTTAGCAGCATTCCTAGGCTTGGAGTCTTGCCTGAATGCAGTATCATACTTGAGGTTCTAGACACTAAGTAGATTTATAGAACCAAAAAACTACAGAGGATTGGGTATTAGTAATAGCCATGTTGGCAGACACAACCAGAGAGAGCAGGGCAAACGTTTTTCTTCCTGGGCAAATTACAGTACCTTAACATGACTGGATGGTTATGGTTGGGGAAATATGAAGTATTACTCTAAAGCAGTGGGGCAGCTAGGTGGTACAGTGTCGGGCCGGGAGGCAGAAAGACTCATCTTCCTGAATTCAAATCTGGCCTCAGACACTTACTAGCTGTCTGGGCTAGTGACTTAATCCTGTTTGTCTCAGTTTCCTCATCTGTAAAATGATGTGGAGAAGGAAATGGCAAGCCATCTTTAACAAGAAAACCCAAAAGGGGGCATGAAGAGCTAGACACAACTAAACATGTGAAAAATGACTCAACAACAAAAATATAAAGTAATGCTATTTTTAAAAAGCAGAGCATAATTTGGACATGCAACTAAAAGTTATCCCCCTTAGTGGAGCCACCCTGGAGGCTATCAACTTATTTCAGACATGCAGCCATCATTCCAATAATTTGGAGGTCTGGATAGCTTTGAGCTGTAAAATTCAAGGTTTTGCTAGCAGGTAAAGGCACTTTGGATGCCCAGAATTGTGGATGTTTCCTCTGGAATTGGGATGTCTTCCAAGGAGAAATCTAGTTCTATAGGACAGATTTTTCTCTCAGTGTGAGTTTAGCTTTGTAGGTATAAAGAATAAATGTTATTCACTCAGTGATAGCATTTGGTGGCTACTTTGGATATACCCCCTTGATTTGCCCCCTTCCATCCCCCCCAGCTCTAAATTCTCAAAGTAGGACAGTGTGCAGCCTCAGATTCATTAAAAATGGAAGAAGAAATTGCTGCTGTTGTCACTGACAATGACTCTGGCATGTGCAAAGCTGGCTTTGCTGGGGATGATGCTCCTCAGGCTGTGTTCCCCTCCATTGCTGGATGCCCAAGATACCAGGGTGTCATGGTAGGAATGGGCCAGAAGAACAGTTATGTTGGTGGTGAGGCCCAGTGCAAGAGAGGTATACTGACTCTGAAATATCCCATTGAACATGGCATTGTTACCACCTGGGATGACATGGAAAAAATCTGGTATCACACCTTCTACATTGAGCTTCGTGTAGCCCCTGAGGAACACCCTGTTCTGCTTAGAGGCCAAAAGAGAGAAGATGACACAGATCATGTTTGAGACCTTCAACACCCTAGCCATGTATGTTGCTATTCAGGCTGTGTTGTCTCTGTATGCCTCTGGTCCTACCATTGGTATTGTTATGGACTCTGGTGATGGTGTCACCCACACTGTGCCCCTCTAGAAGGGTTATGCCCTTCCCCATGCCATCTTTCATCTAGATTTGGTTGGCCATGACCTGACAGACCACCTCATGAAGGTACTGACAGAAAGAGGGTACAGCTTCATTAACGCAGCTGAAAGGAGAATTGTTTATGAAATCAAGGAGAAGCTGTGCTATGTTGCTCTGGACTTTGAGCAGGAGATGGCCCCTGCTGCTTCATCCTCTTCCTTGGACAAGAGCTATGAGCCTCCCAATGGCCAGGTGATCACCGCTGGCAATGAGAGGTTCAGGTGTCCAGAGGGCCTCTTCCAGTCATCCTTCCTGGGTACAGAATCCTGTGGCATTCATGAGATCACTTTCAATTCCATCACGAAATGTGATGGTGATATCCAAAAGGATATATCTGCCAACACAGTATTGTCTGCTGGGGTATTACCATGCACCCTGGCATTGCTGACAGAATGCAAAAAAGAAACCATAGCCTTGGCACCTAGCACAAGGAAAATTCAGATCATCGCTCCCCCTGAATGTTAAGTATTCCGTCTGGATAGGTGGTCCTATTCTGGCTTCTTTCTCCACCTCCCAGCAGATGTGGATCAGCAAGGAGGAATATGAGGAATCTGGCCCATCCATTGTGCATCGCAAATGCTTCTAGATAGACTGCTAGCAGATGCGTAGCATTTGCTGTGTGAGTATTCACAAAGTAAAAATTTGCCCAGGCAGATATATACCTTATGTTAGTCTCATGAAACTGGAATAAAAGCCTTCTTTGAAAAGAAACTCATCCTTGGGGAAGTTTGTATTTGCTGTTAGACAAATATCAGCACTTCTTAGATTGTTGAAGCGTTACTGATTTGAACTTGCGTTCAAATGAACAGTTCTTCCCTTGGTGTACATTTTAGCACACTTTGGTCATATCTTTGATCTAAACCCTGATATAGGTCACTTCATTTAGATAGGTAAGGCTAAGAGTTAACTTCTACAGAGAATTATCTTGAGAATATGGCAATATAGTATCTGGCTGGTTGACACTCAACAGCTGTACAGTTTAGTTCTAGAAAGCATCAGATCTGTACAGGTATGGAAAGGTCAGATTTCCAATATCTAAAAGAACTGACTTGCAGAATTTCTCTCCTAAGTCTGGCAGGAGTTTATTAAGTGTGGGTTTCATCTTGCCACCATCCCAGCAGGAATACATATTGAATCCAAGCCACAGGAACAAGTTTTTTTTTTTTCTGAACTGTTTCCCCTGAATGACGTGGGCCGAAGTTACTCAACCTTGAGTTGCAAAAAAGTTTGCATTTACAACCTGTAAATTTGTGTATCTAGTTAATTTATGTAAGATTTTTGTATGTTGCCTTAATGTTCTCACATGACAGTAGAATACTAAAATTTGGAAGTCATCCTAAGAGTTGAGAATTGTAATGCCCAACATGTCATTAGTAAGGAAAAATAAAAGTGCTGCAAGTTAACTGAGAAAAAAAAAAACAGATATTTTTCCTTAGGTAAACATAGATCTATGAGGATTAATTTGGTTTTGAAAATGGCTGTTTTTTTAATAGAAAGCTAGCAAACTATGAGCTCAGTTGTGTCTAAATGTCATTAAAAAGTTTTTTCACTGGAAATGTATTAATTTCCTAGGTTTGCTAAATTGGGAACTGTTGAAGTGTCTTTCTTTTAAATTTGGCCTAAATATAATTAATCTCTTTCAGATTAATCAGGGTGAAGGAGATAAAAACTTAATAAATTTGTTCCTTCTTGCATAGGTCTCTGTGTCATGAATTCCTTTTTTTTTTTAAAGGAGAAAAACAAAGTTTTAACTGGCACCAGAAACTGGTATAGGTAGAAAGGTCCAGTGACCTTGGGTAGGTCACTTAACTTCCATGGAACCCAGTTTCCCAGTCTGTAAAATGATAGGGAACTAAATGGTGTCTAAGATTCATGGTAACCAACACTCTATGGATGCATAGAGTGTTACCTTAGGAAGTATGGTCAGAAAGCCATGCAGAGCTTGGATGGCACTTCTCAGTGGGATATGGTTTACCAAATAAAATACTGTTTTATATTCTAATTGTTTGATTCAATTAGGGATTTTAAGAATCACCAGTTTGACTTTTTATATTTAAATTTATATTACATAATTATATTTATATCATTTCATATCCCATAAAAAGGCAATTTGCTACAGCTGTTTAGTCATTCAGTCTTTTCCAACTCTTCATGACCCCATGGGCCACAGTAGGCCAATACCGTCCATGAGGTTTTCTTAGCAAAGATACTAGAGTGGATTGCCATTTTCTTCTTCAGTGGATTAAGGCAAACCGAGTTTAAGTGACTTGCCCAAGGTCACATAGCTAGTATCTGGGATGGTATTTGAACTCAAGTCTTTCTGACTCTAGGCCTAG